AGCCTTTAACAAACCTGAATACCAATATGCAGGTACAAGATGAGAATTGCTTGCTGTGGTGACCTTTACCAAACATTTTCAATACTTTCTTCTGGGAGTTGCTTCTTATTAAGGACAGACCACAGTTCTCTTCAGCGACTACACAGTTTCCAACAATCTCCAACCCCCAGGGGTTGATTTCTTAATTCCAACTCAGAATGGCTGGCTGAGTTCGACTACTAAGTAATGCATTACCCTGGGAGATATCTACATTCTGGTGCTGCCCCCCTTGGTCTTGCACAGTGGAAGCTGAACTTAAAGCTGAAGCGGCAGGGATACAGCCACTATCGGTAGTGGAGACAGCTCAGGGTGAACCGACCCCAAATTCAAAAGAAGCCAGAAGGTTGGCAGATTGGTGTATAAGTTAACAGGAAGATGTTGATATTGAAGGTGGGAAGAAACTAAAGATTAAAGAAATTTGATATTGAGGAGTTCCCTGAAGAAGGGCAACATCATCTGCACCTGAAGAGGTACCAGATAGTGTGGTCTGAGCTAAGTATTAGGTAATGAGTACTGGTGTGAAAGCTTCCAGAATCTGCCCAGCGACATGAGCCTATAGTGGTACCAAAGAAGGAAATGCCAAAAATTCTGCAAGCTTCACATGATTTCAATACCAGGGCACACTTGGGCATGGAGAAGGTTTTTCATAAAGTCCAGTCTCAGAATTTATGGTTAGGCTGGAGAAAATCTGTTAAGGACTGGTGCAGATTATGCAAGATGTGTAGAACCAAACCAGGAGGAAGGATCAATGCCAAAAGCTATGTAAGAAGTTTGGTGGCCCTTTATATGGTAATTAGGGAATTGTCTGAGGTGTTACGAGCTGCAAATGGACAACATTTCTAATACACTATAATTAGATGAAATCCTGTGTGTTCACAGAACAGAAGCCCTGGCCCAACTAAGAAACAAAGAAGGCCTGCTCATCAGCAGCCAAGATGTTGGCAGAGACTTTACAACTATGAATGCTGCGTGCCCCCGGCAGCTGCGGGGGCATGGCAAGCTCCTGCAGCGGCATTGCCAGCAGCAGGAGCATGGCAGTGGCAAACGGGAAGCTTCTGTGGGTGGTGGCCAGTGACCACCTGCAGACATTGGTGGTAGCCAGCAGCGGTCGCGGACTGCCTGCAGATGCTGCCGGGGAGGGGTGGGGGGCAACCGGCGACCACCCACAGATGCTGCCAGCAGTGTTGATGGTGCCTTTCCGCAGGGGGTGCACCCCCTACATGTTGCCAGTGTTTACCAGAGAACCCTCACCAATACAGCTCCCAGAAGGTCCAGTAGGGTGCTGCCAGAGGATGTTTCTGAAACAAGAAATGTAGGGTGGGATCTGTGGCCTGATGGAAATGAAGATAGTGAGGATGAACAAGTACTGGGTTAGGATCCAATCTGGGTACAACAGGGGATATCCAAAATTTACCAGAGCCACTAAGGGTCTCTCGGGTAGGCTTAAGGATTACATAGTATAACTTTAGTTGGATGTAGTATTTAGTACTTTTGGGATGTTGCTTACAGATATCAAAATGGAATTACTTTAATCTTAATAGAATTGCACACATCCTGTAACAGACTTTGAATGACCTTCCTTGGTCCAGGTTGGACATATAAAGTCCATTAGTAGAAATCCTGTAACGCATAATTAGAAATCCTTAGGTGTACACTGCTTTAGCCAGCATTGAAATGCATCTTCGGTAACAGAATGATTCCCTTTTTCCTCCCCTCAGGAGCACTGAAGATTGAGTAGCTACGTATATTTATACTTAGCTCGTTCCTCAGCTTCTTACTGAACTCCAGAGGTAAAGTACACAGACATATTTTACAGCAAGGACTGCAAAATGGCAATCTATACTGCACCTGGAACAGGCCAAGTAAGTTCTTGTAGCTTCCGCCTCTTCCTTCTCTCTCCCCTTATTTTAAGGGTTAAAATTGAGTCCTAGTTGCTTCATAATTGAGCCTTGGTCTGGTGCCTCCCTTTAAACAGTGGGATCAACAAACCAATCTTTTTATAAGGAAAAGGTAAGGAGCTGTCTGTTTACAATTGCATGTATAAAATGTTATATTGAGAAAGAAAATATTAAATGCTGCTGCTTTGCCTGCAGTTTTATGTAGTCTAGAAGGAGATTCCCAAGTAGTATGAGGTAGCTGGTGATATAGTATTTCAAGTACCTGAGCACAAGCACACTTTCTTGGCTGAAATCCCTTGCTTGTCTGTTGCTAGGTGGTGCTGTGTTTCACTAAGCAGAGGAAAACACTATAGCAGGAATCTGGTTGAGTCATGTAATGACTCTTCTCTTTATAAATTAGTGGTAAGCATACATTTAAAATGTACTTGGGGGAAAAAAAACTAGCCTGGAAATGAGAAGATGCTGTGAAGTTGGAATGCTCCTAGGTTGTCATGTTATTATGCTGATATAAACAATATGTATATTTTAAAACTGAAGTGGTTTAATAACTTGAGTGAAGGCAAAAATTGATGGCATTTTGATTTCAAGAATATCAGAGGGAAAAATAAATTTGATAACTTGTTGAATTTTAAAAACTTAAAGGTGGATTTTTAGTGCAAATAAACACAACTATGTATTATAACCCATGCCCAATATAAAGTATGTATTGTTGTGTTGACGTACAACAGTCTGAATGCTTCCTCATTAATATTCCCAGAAACAAAGCAACATTAAAATGGAGGTAACATAGGAGAATACAAATTGGTGATCATCAAAGAGAAAATGATCAGTGGTTAATTTTCTAGATTCGGTATAAGTATGGGTCAAAGTGAGACTTAAGTTGGAACATTTAAAATATAGAAATAGCAACTGTCTTGCACCAGTGCCAATTTCAAACCGTCTTGGCTTTGTTTTATTCTTACCTGAAGTCTCTTCCTAGATTCTGTAAGTGAAACTTTTTCCAACCACTACACTGTGATACATGATTTTCTGATTCCAGGATGTTTTCAGAGTGCCCTCAGAAATTGAGACTAAAGCTGTGTGGTCTAAGTAGGTCCCACTTTATGCTTCCTCCCAAGTTTGCAAACGATGTATTTAAATATTATAGATACTAGAACCTAAAACCAGGAGAAAGCAAGAAGAATAAGTGACCTGAAGAAGAGAGAACATGGCTGTTAACCAAAAAAAAAAAAACCAAATAAAAGTTGAAGAGTACGCTCTGAGACTCTAAGAGAAATCTGCACCAAGAGATAGGAGGGGTTTGAATGGTGTGTGTATTAAATCCTGCAACATGTATATAGATTGCACCCCAACATTGCAATGCTTGGTGACTTGAGATTAGCCAACCATGCATTGTTCTGGCCACTAGCCTTGGCTTGCACATGATTATCCTGTAGTAATTTAATTTTATTTTCACTTTGCAGATAGGACAATATCCACTGTACTTGTGTAACCAGTTTACCTAGTCTGCCTGTTCTCTGGTCTCCCATCCCAGTACTGGAACAGGCTACCCAGAGAGGTTGTAGAATCTCCATCCTTAAAGGTTTTAATGACCTAGATAGACAAAGCCTTGGTTGGGATGATCTGTTTGGGGGTGGTCCTAATTTTCTATGATTATCCCATGTACTGGTGGTACCAGGATTGGTTAAAAATTGATTACTTAAAAATATATCTGCTTTTTCTCCTTTCAATGGGATTTTAAATTGTTGGTTAAACTATATTTTTCCTTTTTAAGAATAAACCTTTTTTAAAATGAAATCTGAATTTAATATGTAATGTGTTTTTAAAGCTTAAATTAGATCTTTTAAAATTAAATAAATATACTGAATTCATCACTGTCCATACTGTGGAATAAACTCCTTCCAGAGGCAATGAAGGTACCTACCCTGGAGGTTTTCAAGAGGAGACTGGACAATAACCCCACAGGGGTCACCTAACCCCAGTTGCCTTCCTGTTTAGAGCAGGGGGGTTGAAGCCAATGATCTGCAAGGTCCCTTCCAGCCCCTTACAATCTATGAATCTACCTCTATCAAAGAATTTGAAGTACAGGCTTTTGCTTCTCTATATACAAAAAAGATTATTTTTGATTCTAACTTTGGGGTCAAGTTTATAAATGTGGCACAGCTGGTCATTTAAAACATTCTGTATTTAAGAACTTCTGTAGGGGACCTTTGGAGTGTACAACTGGGTGCAAGAGACTAGCAAAGTTTACTACAGGCAGTAGGATCATAGAAAATTAGGGTTGGAAGGGACCTCAGGAGGTCATCTAGTCAAACTCCCTGCTCAAATCAGGACTATCCCCCAACTAGATTATCCTAGGCAAGGCTTTGTCTACCCAGGTCTTTAAACCCCCCCCAAGGACAAAGTTTCTACAACCCCTCTGGGATAACCTGTTCTAGTGTTTTACTACTCTCCTAGTGACAGTTTTTCCTAATATCTGACCTAGACTTCCCTTGCTGCAACTTGAGACCATTGCTCTTTGTTCCATCATCTGTTACCACTGAGAATGGTCTAGCTCAGTAGTTCCCAAACTGACAGATTGCACACCACCAATTTAAAACAATACAACCTTAAGTACAACCAGCAAATTTTTGTCGTATAATTATAATAAGTCTGCTAACACAGACAACCTGTCAGTAGTATGCATACCACTGGTGGTATCTGTATCACAGATTGGGAACAGCTGGTCTAGCTCCATCCTCTTTTTGGAATAGACTTTCAGGTAATTGAAGGCTGCTGTTAAATCACCCTCAATCTTCTCCTCTTTAAACTAAATAAACCCAGGTCCCTGGAGCCTCTCTTCAGAAGTCACGTGTCCCAGCCCCCTAATCATTTTCACTGCCTTCCACTGAACTCTCTCCAATTTGTCCCCATCCCTTCTGTAGTGGGTGTCCCAAAACTGGACTCAGGACTCCAGATGTGGCCTCACCACTGCCAAATAGAAGGGAAGAATCAATTTCCTTGATCTTCTGGAATTGCACCTACTAATGCAGCCCAGTATGCTGTTAGACTTCTTGGCAACAAGAGCACACTGTTGGTTCATATTCAGCTTATTGTCCACTGTAACCCCCAGGGAGTTTTCCGCAGGACATATGCTTAGCCAGTCAGTCCCCAGCCTCTAACGGTGCATGAGATTGTTCTGTCCTAAGTGCAGGACTTTGTACTTGTCCTTATTGAACCTTGTGAGATTTCTTTTAATCCAATCCTCCAATTTGTCTCCGAAGACTGGAAGGTAGGACCAGGATATATACTACCCCCCCAGCTTTGGTGTCATTTGCAGTCTTGTTGATGGTACACTCTATGCCATCTTCTAAGTCATTGATAAAGATATTGAACAAAACTGGCTTCAAGACCAACCCCTGGGGCACTCCACTTATTACCAGCTGCCAATTAGACATAAAGCTATTGACTACTACCCTCTGAGCCTGATGATCTAGCCAGTTTTCTATCCACCTCACAGTCCAATCATCCAACCTGTACTTCCAGGGGTGTGGCCCCTGACTCCAGTAGATGCTATTGTGTGTCTCGGTAGGAATTTTGAAAAATTTGGAAAATGTATCTAAGCTTGGAAAAATGTCTAAAATATCTTGATTTTTTTCCCCAAGCTAACTTGCAATAATAAATGTAATTCTTTGTCTATTGTAAATCATCTATTCAATAAATCCTTTAGTCATAAACATAAAAAAAGATTGATAAAAGAAACATATATCCCTAAAACATTAAGGGTTGGGGGTTTTTTTGCTCAGTAACAGTACATTTTATATGCTATCTTGTATATAATTCAGTTCCAATTACCATCCTAATGCTTGACACAAATGATGAGCAGAATATTAATTACCTAGTAAATGAGCAATACACCATTTTCATTTGCAAACATACCAAAAAGTAAAATTAACAAAAAAAATTAACGGTTAAGCCATATAACTTATTAAATACATGGACATAATGTGCTCTTCTAGGTAGCAAAACATTACAAACATACATTTTTGTATTGTATTTAATGTTTTAATGGTTTTAACCACCAATGAAAATGTACCCTTCTTCAGCAAATAACTGAAGTACCAATGGAAAAGTTGATTAAAATTGATTATTTAAATCGAGGCTTTCCACTTAGTGATTGTAAATTGCCTTGATTTACATCAGTCCACTCAGGCTGCTGCCTTCTGGACGTATCCTCCTTTCATTGTATATTCCTTCTGAGGCAATATGAAATACTAGTGAATCCTGGGATCTCAGCAGCTATGTGAGCAGTCTGTATAGTAGTTGAGGATGTGTAAACATGATTGATGTTGATGTGAAAAAGTTGCTGTGAGGAAACGAGTCAACAATAACTTCTAGTTCCATCAGAAGATTGTGTTACAGAATAGTTACAAAGCCATGACTGATTTTTGTGTGGGCAGACCTCTAAGTTTCATTTACTTTCTGAAGAAGTCTGATAAATGTCTCTCTCACATCTAAACTAATGGCTGGATATTATTTGCATAGGCAGTGACAGTGATTCTCAGCTAGCAAGGTGAGATTTTATTTTTGTGATCGGCAGGATGAGCATATTTATATATTGTGATACAAAATAAGTGGTGTAAGAAGATAATATTTTGTGTAATCAAAGTCCCATTTGAGTTGCATGGAAAAATAATAATAATAATTCAGAGTGAGGGAGATCTTTTATATGGAGGTTTGCAAAGGAGAGGGAAAATAACCCTCTCTAGAAGCAACCATATATTGATACGGTTGAAGTAGATCGAAACAGGAGAGGGAGCCCTTGCTTCATGAGTTGAGAACCAAAGGGCATGGAGTTCTGCTTACCTAAGCCACAGAACAGAGGGGGAGCTACACTTCTGTTCCTGCCTTAGTTCCCAAGTACAAGCTAATTAATTGTTATGTAGTTCTTGTTTCTGAGCCTGGCTTTCCTCTTCTGATTTCTGCTACCATTCTATAATCAAGCTTTCTTCTCTCCACTTTCCTTCCCACACCTATATGTGCTGGACTGTGGCTGTAGGAGACAAGGTTAGAAGCCATGGCCTCAAGCTGCAACAGAGGAACTTTAGGTTGGAGAGCAGAAAGAACTTTCTGACTATGAGGGTTGTCAAGCATTAGAACAGGCCACTTAGAAAAGTTGTGGTATCTCTATCAGTGGGT